TATCCTTACAAATCTTCTTCCAAGTGGATTTTCTGTCTTTTTTCGAGTCTAATCTTCCATAATTAAATGCTTTTCTCACATGTCTATACTTCAGGCATGTGAAATGTTTTAGTTTCTAAGTCTTGGGGTTGTTGATCTTTTCAGATAATTTTATATGGTTAAGACAAGGCAGAGGTAAATGATTTCACAACATTGTAAATGTGTTCTATGCCACTGAAGTGTACACTTTTCGTTGTTTAATTTTATATTATGTGAACTTCACCTCAATTTAAAAAAAAATGAAGAGGCCTCTCTCTTCAAATTAGATTTTTAGCACTGTAATCAAAATATCCATTCATATATTCTTACGCTAAAGGAGAAACCAGAATTTACTGCTTTGCAAAATAGAAAATACTTGATCTCATAGTAAAAATGTTTTATCTCATAGTAAATGTTTTAGGAGCAAAAGTATCTTTTTTTTTTTTTTACAACAGGCACAAATGTGAGTTTGTCTTAGGCATTTAATATCTAGGCTAAAATGTGAACCTAAGCTGGAGGCCAGTCAGGGCCAGTGGCCAATGCTTCTCCAACCCTTTTCTGTGACTTCTATATCTTTAACACTCTATTTAAGAGGTTATAAAAGAATAGTCTGGAAGCACTGAAAATGTTCTTTATCATCAAAAAAGATTTTACTATTTCCAGACCTATGAAAGAAGATAGACTATGCCATGTGTATTAGAAATACTCCAACATTCCTTAAAACAAACAGGGTTTCTGGCCTAGTTCTCACCTAACTTGACCTTGACATTTATTTTAATATGGTAGTCTCCAAATGTTTTGGTCAAGTAATGTCTTCCTTAGCACTGCAGTCTGTAGTAGAACAGAACACTTCTCTGATGCCTTTAAGCTTCCTGAGGACAAGAATTTAACTTAGAAGTTGTGTTCAATGAGAGTTCAAGTCCTGGCTCTATCACTTGTTAGGTGAGTGATCTTTAATATTAAGTCAATTACCCATCTCACCCCAGTTTCCACAACTGTCAAATGGGGCTGATAACCAGTCAGAGTTGATATAAAGAGTCAATATAATGCTGTGCCAAAGGACTATACAAATGTCAGAGATTTACATCATCTATTTTGGTGCTTTAAAATGGTAGGTGTTAAGTTAATGTTTGTTTAATTAAATTGTGTAATAATCTTGGGGACATAAGGCTTATCTATTTTACACTGATTGAATTAAACCAGGCTCTTTTTCTAGGAAATTGTGTCAAGGAACAAACCAAATACCTGATATACTTGAATTTCTGTAGTAAGATATGTTACATGTTGCATTTGTTGCAAATGTTACTAATGAAATATGTTAATGAGAATATAGTTAATTGTTCCTTTTCGAAAGAAAAATGAAACTCTCGTCCACAATTAGAACTTATTCAGTAAGCCACATCTTTCAGTGTTTGTAGCACTCCCTGAAAATGTGAAAAAGTGAATGACTCCCAGCAGGTGAGTAGTCTATACCTTCTCTCTGGCAGGAATATTAATCACAATTATTATCAGCTCAGTAAGTCTTTGGCCTCATAGAGAGACATGCGCTATTGCTGGCTTTGAGGAGGAAAATGAATGTTAGAACATAGTGTTGGTGCTGATAATCCATCAGGATTATCCACAGCTTTACTGTCCAATAAGGCAAGCCAGCACCTGTCTAGAAGTATAATTTGAAGATCCCAGAAGAGGCAGCTTGGTACCTAAAATGCCCACCATTAGAATTATTCCTTTGTTTTTAGTAGAATCTTTCAAAGGGCCTACCAAAATGTAGATATTGTGAAGTGATACATTAGCACATTAGAACAAGTACATTTTAAAAATTGGTTCATGTCATGGAGGATCCCAAAGGAATAGAATATTGGATCACAGTCAAGAAGATAAGAAAGTTCAGCTTTGGAGAGACTAGGATCAGGTCTGTGACTTGAGAACCTGAGATTTCATGAGAATCTTGAGTATCCCAGGGAGCCCAGGCCCATGAAAACGTGAGCAACAGTCATCTAAGGCCATATTGTATGTTTTCTTAACCCAGAATCCTTCATGTAATTCATCTAAAACAAAATCATTTTGCAATGAGATAATAGATGATAGATACAGCACTAGAAAGAGTATTTTTAACTCAATTATTTATTAAGAATATATTAACTAGAGACTGATATTAAGCACAGAAGAGTGTGACCTTCATTCTACAGGACATACAACTCTTGAGCAATCTCCTCTTTGCTGCTATCTCTTCTCCCACAGAACAAGAAACACTATTAACAAGAATTTCATTTCCGGTCCTTTTATACCTTCTTCCCTCTCCCCTGTGAAGTTACTAACAAACTAGAAAATGAAATTACTAGCAAGCTAGAGATGGTCAAATGTTTGCCAGAAATCATCAATAAAAAAATTCATTGATCAAATAATCACAAGTGGATAATTAAACTCCTATTTAGAGGAGTTGTAATAACTGCTAAATAATAATTAAGTGTTGCCAAACTATGAATTTGATGTTCTGCAGTAAGCATCCAAAATCAAGTTGGGGAGGGGGGCAGAGACATATCTTAATCAGGAGGATGAATTGCAGAGGAGTTATTTTCATTCCTGTTTTAGAATCATTTGCTCTCTTCACATTAAAACAGATCAGACCCCCTTTTAGAATGCATTTATTACTGAGAAGGCCATAATATTGGGAGGGAAGGAATTCCTGAACGGAAAGCAAAATTAATTTGTAGATTTCACTTTCCTGTTAATGTACCTGACAAATGTACTATAAGCGTGGAACCTTCAAAAATTATGTTGTGTTTTGGAATTGTAAACAGCTTTAGTGAGAGGAAGTAGAAATGAGGACAAATGAACCTCCAATGAATGCCAAGTAGACAATTCAGAACGAGATCAGCTCTTGGCACAGATGCGAGTAGGCATAACTTAGGGTCTTTAGGGCTTCTGTCAGCAGGTGTATTTGCTTGGTTTCACATAGTAATGATTACAGAAATCTAAATATAGATTTGTTAGTCTATAATGTCTTTCTTTTGAACTTTATTATATGCTTTTCCATATTATTTCACATGAATGTATTCATAAAACCTAGGAAAATCTTTTTTTGTGTAGAAATCAAAGTGTTATTTGCCCTCACAAAAGCTCATATTTATATTATTTTAAATATTGTTAATATTCCAGGCCTATTTACAATTATACTTCCCTTCTTTGTACATTCAAGCATTTATTCCTTCAGTACACACACGTTAAAGCAACTCTCAAATTGATCACAATCATGAGTCAGAGTTACATTCTTCATTCAGTAGTAAAGCACCCCTCGTTCAATCTCTAGTATTGCAAACAAACAAAAACACAATTCTCTCCAGTGATTAATACTTCTTAAAGTAAATGAGTTTGAAATCAGAAGATCAATTAGAAAATGATAGTAGCAGCCCAGATTAATTCAATAAACACCTAATCTATGCCAAGCCAGGGACATGGTTTCTGTCCCAGTTCTTAGCTGAGTGTGGAGATGAAGGCACAAACCTGGCTGCACTGCATCCTAACTGCACAACTCTAGAAAAGTTCATTATCATCTTTGTTACCCTAGTTATTGAATGAAGATAATAATGAAAATCATCTCATAAGAAGGTTGTGAAGATTTATTGAGTTAATAAATGCTAAGGGCTTAGAATAGCACCTTGTATATACCAAGCAATCAATAAATGTTAGATATTGTTATTATTTTTAGACATTGTCTCATAGCAATATAATAAGTACTCTGAATACAATGTATGTAGGATGTTTCAGTACCACAGAGGTCACACTAAGCTAAGAGATGGTAAGGGTCTGACTCTGAGTTAATAGAGGAATTGAGGAAATGGAGAGAAGGTGATGGAAGCAAGAAATGATATCAAAGTAGGATCCCAAGAGCTTAGTAACTCATCAGATGCCAGGAGTGAAGAAGCAGGATGAGTCCAACATAATTCCAGGGTTGTGTTGGAGCAAAAGAAAAAACAGGTTTAGGTTAATGTATCTTCTCAAACATTTAACATTTCTTTGTGGTGAAAACATTCAAAATCCTTTCCTCAAGCTTATTGAAATATATAGTCCTTTACCATGTTCTTCAGTCATCCTACTATGCAATAGAATACCAGAACTTCTGTGCCTCAGAAATTAGAATTTGTGGAACTACCTATTTAATTCAAGATACAATTTCCAATTAACAGTGGCAAAAATGTTATTCAAATCCAATCAGAGTTGCTACTTAATATCTAGAATTGGAAATAGACATTACTATGGTAGACATATTAAAATATTTAAAATTTAAATTCATTTTTAATTGATACGTAAAAATATAAAAATGTACAATTATACTTTTTTGCAACTGAGTTATAGAGTTTTATGTATATTCTGGATATTAACTTTTTGTCAGATGTATAATTTGCAAGTATTTTCTCTGGTTCTGTAGGTTCCCTCTTCATTCTGTTGATTATTTTTTCCTTGATGAGCAGAATTTTTTAAGTTTTATGTGATCCCACTTGTCTAATAAGTGCTATTAGACAAGTGGGATCACATACTTTTAGAATCTTTTTATACAGTTGTTTTTCATTTTTGCTTTTCAACTCTAGTATGCTTTCGGTAATTGTGGGATAGATTGCAATGTATCATTCAAAGAAAGATATAATCCTTAATTTCATCCAAATATGTGTCTATTTTATTATATAAATTTTATTATATAAATGTCTTAAATTTCAGTGCTCTGCATTTCAATTAATTAAAAAAAAGGATTGATTTGCAACTTTAGGAGATCTAACAGCGACACCTGCTGGAAAAATGTTAAAAGAAAATTTGAACAAAAATCTAAAATTTTAGATCAGTTTCATGTTCTATTAATCAGAAAGACACTTATTAATTTATTATTAATAAGAGCGTTTATAATAAGCAAATGCAAAATATTTTATAGGAGGATCTTTGATCAAGTTTTACAAATTTACAAATGAAAATACATCTTCTCTTTTCAGGATAAAGTTATTTTGGGAACTGACTACCCCTTTCCACTAGGTGAACTAGAACCTGGGAAATTAATAGAGTCCATTGAAGAATTTGATGAAGAAACAAAGGTATGTATCTTTCATTTCATAGTCTTTTCCTGAGCTTTCCTGTTCAATTGGGTTTGATTTCAGAGCACTTTGGCACACGATAAAAAAGAACAGAGGAACCACTGAACTTAATGTTCCTATAACTACTACTCATTTTCAGAAATAGCTAAACTATTTTTTTTCTTTTGGTGGTTCTGGGAGTCAAACCCAGGGCTTCATGCATGTAAGGCAAGAGCTGTACCACTGAGACACCCTCCTAGCTAAAATATTAAAGGGCAAAAGAACATTAAAAAAGCTGAAAGTCAGCCTAACAACTGAATTCATAAAGCCATGAAAGAAAACTGTAAATAAGCATATAATAATAATAAAACTTACATGTTAAGTGGATTAGAAAGGGAAATAATATTTTTCTTTAATATTTCTGTTACAAATCTACCAATCTCAAAAGTTGTAATGATTCTAGTTATTCAGCTATTGAGACTAAAGTCAAGGTTTCAAGGAGAAAGAAGAGTCCTAAAGTAACTGGATTTTTTTCTCCTCAGTGTTTAAAGGTGGGTATATAATACTAAAATATATCTACCTAATCTATCCCTTAGACTCCTGAATCAAGATGAGTTTAAAATGAGACAGAGTGTCCTCATATTTCCTCTTCTTTGCTATCTCCTTGCCACTCTATCTTCTAAAAATGAAAGTTCTTCCCAAGGGCTTCACCACCTGTCACTACCAGGGGTCAGGGATGGCCAAAATTTGAAATTAGGGGATGAATAAAGTCTTAAAAAACTTACAAAGGTCTCAATCATAATCCTTTTGCATATTTATTGACTTCTAATGTAAAATCCAAAAGTTTCCTCAAGGTTTCTCTACCTTACATAACTTATCAAATCTTCTGAGTGGACTTGAAGCACATGAACAGATGCGGATAATTCATTCTGATGTATGCTAGTTGCCAGTTATTAACTAGGAAACCTTAGACTGTTTAACAAAGATGTATCCCCTAAGTGTGGAATATGATATGTCAAGAAATTTGTAATGTTTTGAACAACCAACAATAAAAAATTAAAATTAAAAAAATAAATAAAAAATAAAAACAGATTAATTACTAAAAAAAAAAAAAAACAAAGATGTATCCTCTTTGGCATTTACCTTGAGGTAGTAAAACCTTGAATTGTTGGGGCTGCAATTGTGGCTCAGTGGTGGAGCACTTGCCTAGCATGTGTGAGGTACTGGGTTTGATCCTCAGCATCACATAAAAATAAACAAAATAAAAGTACTGTGTCCATCTACAACCAAAATATTTTTTTTTAATTCTTGAGGGGTTGGGGATATAGCTCAGTTGGTAGAGTGCTTGCCTCGCATGCACAGGGCCCTGGGTTCAATCCCCAGCACCACAAAAACAAAACAAAACAAAACAAAAAACTACTAATTAGTAGAAAGCTAAGATTTTTTTTCTTTCTTTCTTTTAGTTTTTGGGTTTTTTAACAACAGTTTAAAAATGAAAAACTTTTTATAATGTTAATCAAAATTATAAAGAAATCATATTACTACAAGTATCCTGATTAAGACTTTAATGGAATTATAATTATTATTTTATGCCTCTTTTAGTTTATTATTTGGTGTTTATTGCTTTGAAGTTTTAAAATAACTTCCATAAAAATTTTATACTATCACAAATTCACAATGACATTCTTTATAAGGGTACTCATTGCAACACTGTAATAAAATACTGAAAACAAACTTCAGGGGAATGGTTAAATAAGTAATATATACAATAAAATCTATACAGCCATAAAAATATTAGAAATCAATATTGAAGATATTATTTTAAAAAGCAAGATGCAAAATGATTTATATATTTCCACTTGTAGATACTATACTGTCCATTTAATGAAAAAGAATACCTATATACCTAAGTAAAAGTATTTGCTTGAATATGCATAAAATATTCTGATAGAATAAATAAGAAAGTGATAATTCTTGGAAGAAAAAGTGGTAGTAAAGTGACAGTAGTGGAAAAATGTTTTCCCTTTTTATCTTTTAATTTTTTAACCACAAGCAGGTAAATACCCTTAAGTTTAAGGCAAATTTAAAGTGTAATAAATAAATTCATTTGATGAGTTCAACAACACTGAGAGGTATACAGGCAGATGTGTACCACCAAGAAGATACGGAAGAGGAAAACAAAATTTAGTTGTTCAGTGATTTGCCAAAAGTGATATAACTTGGGGTATAGCATATAGAGGTAACCCCAAATCCCTTGACTCAGTAATACACAAAAGGGTAACACTTTTGAAGCATACTTTGAACTAGCATATTTTAAAAGATAAAGAGATGATTTCTCTAAGTAGCAAGTCACTTCTAAAATGTAGCTTTAAGGAAGATAACCCAAGTGTGCGTCAATGAAGAACTCTGAGTAAGAGGTCCTTATACCAAATCACCCACTAATTAATGCTATTCAAGAGCCCCAAGGTAATCATGATATGGAAAGCTGTGTGACATCCATATATTAGTGGTATGGATGTTACACAACTGTCATACATGTTTCCTTCTACCCTCTCTACCCTCAGCTACATGTCTGTTCTTTGCAAACTAGATACAAACCAATTAGGGTATCACAAAGTAAGCTGTCCTTCAATCATTTCTTTCTACAGAGTTGATAGTCTATGGCCAGGAAAGAGGTGGTGGAAAAAAAATGACAGAATCCTTTCCTCATAGGAAATTTATAAAATGTACAGATTTGTACTCCAATCTGAGATCCTTCATCTATATAACTTATTTTGTTGCAGGCTGGGGTTGTGGCTCAAGTGGTAGAAGGCTCACCTAGCACATATGAGGCACTGAGCTCGATCCTCAGCACCACATAAAAATAAAGATATTGTGTCCACCTAAAACTAAAAAAAAAAATTGGAAAAAAAAATAACTTCTCTTATTCTGAAAGACCTCACTTTTTTCGGGGGCGGGGGGAAGGGGGGTGGTTACTGGGGATTGAACTCAGGGGCACTTGACCACTAAGCCACATCTCCAGCCCTATTTTGTATTTTATTTAGAGACAGGACCTCACTGAGTTGCTTAGCACCTCACTTTTGCTGAGGCTGGCTTTGAACTCGTGACCCTCCTGCCTTATCCTCCTGAGCCACTGGGATTACAGGACTGCACCACCTCACCTGGCTAGACCCCACCTTTTATTTAGGGCAATATAAAAGGACAATATATAGAAGCCAGGGAATGGCTAGTTTACTTCTCAACACTGTTTTTCAAGCCCTCTTGTCCCATAGACCTAAATTGTACATTTTCTCTGCATTTGCCTCAAAATAATCCTTCAAACCTATTGGAGATCCAATAAGGATTTCCAAAGAGGGGCACTCCCCTAAAAAGACTTTCCCCCTTATAAGTCTTTTCCTCTACTCCTACAGTCAAGTTTCAGATTTTTTTTTAATTTTAATTTGTTCTTTTTAGATATACATGACAGTAGAGTGTATTTTGACATATTATACATACATGAAGTATAACTTCTCATTCTTGAGGTTGTACATGATATGGAGTTACATTGGTCATGTATTTATATATAAACATAGGAAAGGTATATCCAATTCATTCTACTGTCTTTCCTATTCGCATCCTCCCTCCAAATGCAATAATTTCATTCTTCTTTTTGGCTGAGTAATATTCCGTGTGTGTGTGTGTGTGTGTGTGTGTATTTCACATTTTCTTTATCCATTAAGTTTCAGATTCAGAGTTCATATAGTGGGGCAAAACATGGGTCAGAGGATTTTGGTAAGAGACTCACTATATAACCTGCAAATAATTTTCTCTCCTACTGGAGAACTGATAATTTAAAAACCCAATGAGGACATTTAATAAAATACTTTAAAAACAATTCATAATTCTTTAATATATTCTCTTCTTTTTTTAGGATAAACTCAAAGCTGGTAATGCCCTGGCATTTTTGGATCTTGAGAGAAAACAATTTGAATGACTGAATTCACTACAAAAACAAACTTTCAAGAAGATATTTCACATTTGTTTTTTAAATATGTATCACATATGCATTACTAAAATCCTATTTTGAATTATTTAACCTAGAAATAGAATATCCCAAATACTCTAAATTATTCATAACAAAAATGATTCACAAATGCTTTCATTCTGAAAGGCAGTACATTATCTCACATGAAAATCAGAAGTTATTTTTCCAATGCCTTTTTTTTTTCTTTTTTGTGATGCTGGGGATTGAACTCAGGGCCTTGTGCAAGCAAGGCAAGCACTTTACCAACTAAGTTATATCCCCAGCCCTCCAATGCCTTTTTAATTAATCTGGAAGAGATAAAAAATAAATGTCATTAATTATTTATACAGAGAAAGACTAACACCAGATTTATTTTAGAGGGCTCAGGTGGGGTCTTCATTTTGATCAAGGATATGTAAATTGGGCCCAAATAACCTGTTTTATTCACTTTTTAACACTTTTCACTAGCCCATAATTTGGCTGGGAATGCTTTAGCCTCCACAAAATAACCGATGTTCATACAGGATATTCAAGCCATCAAAGAGCTTACAGCCCAATTAAAGAAGCAAAGTACATGTTCATGGAATAATTACTGAGCAATGCAACATGAAGGTCAAAAAGATTTCAGTAAAAATAATTCATTTTGGTCTTAAATGGTTAGGTAAATCTTCATAGAAGTGGAATTTTGGTCGAGTGTAGCAGGATGGATAAGGCTTATTTTAGGGTTACAGGATAGGAAACAGGTAGAAAAGCAAACTGCAGGAACATAGATGTGATTCCAGACCAGATGAAATTTATCTATTCTGGAGAAAAGTTCCAGTCTATAAATTTACCAGAAGTTCTTTTAATACCCCTGTCCCAAGGACTGGGGATTGAACTCAGTACCCTACACATGCTAGGCAAGCACTCACTCTATCATGGAGCTACACTTCTACATTTTTATTTTACTTTGATACAGGGTCTTGCTAAATTGCTAGGTTCACCTTGAAGTTGAAATTCTCCTGCCCCAGCCTCCCATGTAGCTGGAATTCACCATACTTGGCTAATTTTTAATTTAAAATACTGATCAAAATGTATAAAGCTAGCCATGAAGAGTGAGCTGGCCAATACCAGGGTATCCTTGTTCTACTCATTCTATTTATGGTCCCACCTGGGCCGTTGCAAAGATCCTGGTAAGGGTGATGAACAACTGTGGTTCATATAAATCTGGCTGAATTTCAAAATCAAATCAATGAAATTTTTCCAAATGATCTTCTTGCTTTGGGTTCATTCATACTTCCTTTCCCTTTCCTTAGTACAGAAAATCAAAAGTATTGCCATATAATTTGTGTTGACCAATCTTAAGGGTGAAGAAGAGATCTAATTCTTACTAAACTTCCCATTCCATTATTTTTACTTTATATAGTTCATCCATCTCCCTCTCCCTCTCTCTCCTCCAACCTCCTGTAGCTTTCTAGGATTTTGCCCAGCAACCTCTCTGCTTATTACTTCAATCTGTCTAAAAAGAAAAATAAGGTTAAACAAGGTAATGTTAGACAGCTAGTCAGTCACACGGATAAGCAGGGGAAAAGACAATGAAGGATGACTAAAAGCCACAGGGACCCTTATCTGACAGATAAGCACCTGGAAGATGGGACTTGGTGTGTTAAAACCTCCCCTAGCCAAAGTTACATTCCTTTAAGTAAAACTTGTTCCGTGTCCAAGTCACTCCCTCCCAGGTATCTGGACCCTATCACAACTCCATTGCCTTCTACCACAACTAAAACATTTAAGAAGACCCTCATCAAGAAAGCTTGATGGGGGCTATTCAAGTGCTAATAAACTGATTAAGAAAGCAGGAAATTGAGGCCAAAACTGGATCAATAACAAACCCACTAAGGGGACAAGTAATTGGGACAAAAACAGGGGAACTTCCTTCAGGAAGTTCCCATTCTTATGGGAATTTCCTAAAACACTTCAACTCTGAATACCATACCTTTCTTGATGGTGGTCCATGAAGTTCCTGTGCTGTCAGTCAAAAGTCAGAAGGTGGACTTAGACAGAACTCTGGAAACTTCCCCTAGGACTTCCAGTAAAACAGGAGGGCTGAAGAGGCCCGATATCCCTTTCCTCTCTGAGAGAACCCTTTTCCTACCTTCAGAGTGTCCCTTTCCCCTTTCCTGAGCAACATATCTGAAATCTTTCTGGCCTCACCAAAAGTATGGGGGTGGGGGGATTCCTGCTGCCTCAATTCCTGCTGCCAGAGGGCCCATGCTCTGTAACAGTAACAGCATGAAGCATGTTTTTGTTTTTTTCATCCCCAAATCTTTGGGAGAAATGTCTATTCCTTTTCAAATATTTCATATTTCAACCACTTGAATATAGTACTTAGTGACTGTTTTATAAAAAGGGACTCAGTAAGGTGACTCTATGACCAGTGTGATTCTGCAATCTGTACAATCAGAAAAATGAGAAATTATACCCCAATGATTCAAATGTATGAATTGCCAAGATCATTGTAATGTCATGTGTAGCTAACAAAAAATAAATAAAATTTTTAAAAGAGGGACTCAGTAACTTTATTCAATATCACATATGATATAGTGAATAGGTCCATTCATATTCACAAAAGTATTTTCTAATATGCCAGGTCTGTAGGAATGCTACAGGCACTGGGTAGAAGAAATAACCAAAACCGGGAACAGACCTCAATAGATCAGCAAGCTTCTTATATTAAGCAGCAGAATGGCACGTTTTCAGGGGAGAAAATGACGATTGGTTACAACTAGGGTCTGATTTTTATAGGGTTTAAGTGAGATTGGAATCGTAACAAGTGAGACTTAAATAATGGCAAAAATGTATCTGTTGGGTAGTCAGTGGAAAACAGTTTTGCAAGTTCAAAGCTCAAATCAGGGGAAACAGTTGCAAAAGTTCTAAACCCATTTTTCCTGGGAAAGTCCAGAGCCCAGAGTCCATTGTTTGCCTCCCCTCTACACACACATTGTCCTCTTTTCTCCCTGGAGGTTATTCCCCTTTTTCATGGGGTTATTTTTCATATCCTTCACTGGGGATATGGAATTAAACAGAAAGGATAAAATTCTTTCTCTAACGAAGGTTACAGTCTTTGTTATGCTCGAATTCGGGACCCCCAAAGACCACCACAGACCCAAGATCGATGTAAGCAGCAAAGAGGTGTTTATTGCGAGCTAGCTCGGTCCTCCGCGCACACATACACAGCAACTGGTGACGCTGAGAGGCCCCGAGCCCAGGGTTTGCAGCAGTTTTATACATTCTTTGAAGAGGGCAGGGACTTCACATACATCATAGCAAATCATCACACACCTCGGGAAAATCAAATAACAACTCTAAAACATGATTAGCACATTCACTGGAGGGAACAAGTTGGGTAGGGGTGATTGGTCAGTACAAAAGTGGTATTCATTTGAACTGATTGGTTTAAGCCAAGAGGGGTGTACATGCTGAACTACTTGGTTTCCCAACTTGTTATCAACCACCATAAACTACTGGGAGGGTCATCTGGCATCCCAGGTATTTCCCTGTCTCATGCTGATTGGTGGCTGCTAGGGGGCTGCTATGGATCCCCACCTAGCCTGACTGAGTCAGGGACACCTGGCACAGCAGATCTCTCCTGTTATTTGTAGATAAACAACTTAGCAGGGTGGGAATGTGCCTAGGAGTGCTCTGTGGGTTTTTCCAAGGACAAAGGTCATGTCCCTTCCTTGGACAGGCTTTGCTCTGAGATAGAAGCTGGTTTTTCATCTTGAGGGTGAGAAACATAAATAAATGTAGGAGGGAGGAAAAACAGTGAATGAACAGAATGAAGGAAGAAGGAAATTTTTACTTATTGGTAAGCACTGAAAAAATTAAAACAGGGAAATGTGATAGGGACTGGGAAATAGATCAGAGATAAAATAATAAATTGGAGGGCCAGGGAAAACCTCTTTATAGAGGACTTTGATTAGGGTGTAGCTGAAAAGGGGGGTTGCCCTCTTGCCATCATGCAACCCATGTTTGTGGTTGCCCTAAAGGGAACCTGCTTCTGGGTTTAAGGGGGATTGTATGTAGCAGAGCATCTCCCTGGCTGCAATCTATTGAAGTGAGCCTTCCACACAAGGGTTTGATATTAAAATAAAAAATTAAATATAATAATAATAAAGAGGACTTTGAACTGAGACTCCAGTGCTAGAAGGGAAGAAGCCTTCCTTCTAGGCAAAAAGTACCAAGGCACTGAGGCAGGGAAGAACTTCTGGTTGGAGTTTGTGAGCAAGGGAGAGAGAGGTAGGAGATGAAGCCAAAAATTTGGCCAGTTTAGCAGATGATAGTCAAGAGTTTACATGTTTACATTGTTTCACAGAAAGCTGTTGGAAATTTTTTAATAGGTCTGTGACATGTTCTGACTTATGTTTAATAAAAATGTATTAACTACATAGAAAATTATTTAAAGGAGGTCAAGAATTAAGGTAGGGAGACTAGGCAAGAATTGATGGTGACTTAGGCAAGAATAATAGAATAGGGATGGTGAGCTGTGTTTGGAGGTAGAACAAACAGCACTTAGTGGTAGACTGAGTGTGAAGAAGAGGTGGTAAGTATATAATCAGTCAGCCATGAAATGAGTGAGCAGGGGAAAGACAATGGTGGGGGGAACAACTGAAAACCAAAAACAACCTAACAAATAAGCACCTGGAAGATGGGGGCTTGGTATGTCAAAACCTCCCCCAGACTCTTTTTTTTTTTTAACTTACTGAGGATTGAACCCAGGGGCACTTAACCACTGAGCAACATCCTCAACCCTTTTTATATTTTATTCAGAGACAGGGTACTGGCTAAATTGCTGAGGCTGGCTTTGAATTCTCTATCCTCCTCCAGAGTTTCTGGGATTACAGGTGTGCACCAACACTCTGGACTTCCCCCAGTCTTTTTTTTTTTTCTTCTTGACTTAGTTGTACATGACAGCAGAATGCATTTCAATTCATCGTACATAAGTGGAGCCCAATATTTCAATTCTCTAGCTGTACACAATGTAGAGAGGCACCATTCGTGCATCATTCCCCCAGTCTTAATTAAGAAAAACTACTGCCAGGCATGATGGCCGACGCCTGTAATCCCAGCGGCTGGAGAGATGAGACATGAGAATCTCGAGCCTCAGCAATGGCGAGGTGCTAAACAACTCAGTGAGACCCTGTCTCTAAATAAAATACAAAATAGGGCTGAGGATGTGGCTCAGTGGTTGAGTGCCCCTGAGTTCAATCCCTGGTACCCAAGGGGTGGGTGGGTAAATAAATAAATAAATAAATCTACTGTTTCTGGACCATTCATTTCTCCTTGAACAAGTCTGCAGGACTCTCCCTTATCACCAAACTATGTCATACCCCCATCACCCAATAGCCAGGACCCTTACAAAGAAAACCTGATGAGGGATATTCAAAGGATAATGAACCGATTAAGCGGGCAGGAAATTGAGACAAAAACTGGGGAACTCAATAGCCTTAAAACTCAAACTCTGAGCCCATAACATTCTCTCTGGGACTCTTCCTGCAGTTCCTATGCTGTCAAAAGTCAGAAGTTTAAAAACAGTCAGAAGTTAAATTTGGACAGGACTCTGGAAACTTCCCTGGGACTCTCAATAAAATTGGAGGGCAATCCTTCTCTCTGAAAGTTCTCCTTCTCTCTTGAAAATATCCCCTTTTCTCTATTCCTACTGCTCGTAATAAACTCACATCTGTTACTGAGTGATACCCAAGATATTTATGGCATGATCACAAGAATGGGGCGGGGGGGGGGGCGGTGTTTCAGGACTGTATCAGTTTCTCAGAAAACCTATGTATAAGGGCACTAGTAGAAAGCTTAATATAAGGGTTTTATCCTATAAGAGTGTCAGGGAAGGACTTTTCAAAAGTGTTCCTTAGACATGCAAGAGCTAAAAGTAGAGGAAAGAGTATTCCAGGTACAGGGAATAATACAAATGAAAGCCTTGTGGCAAAGAGAACACACAAGAAAAAACGACCACTAGGGATGGAAGTGAGAAAGGAGTATATTTTTAATATAAATTGGCAAAATCATGTAAGACGGTTGTAGGGACAGACGAGGCAAGGCACCAAAGATAGCAGGAAACAGTTTTATTTGGCTGCAGACAGGTTCAGAGGGCACAGCTTTTGCTGTAATCATTAATCCTCTGAGCCCCGGCTTCAGGTAGTTTCAGAGTTTTATACCCAATATATAAAGGGAGGGGTTCAGAGGCTCACAATCTGCAGAAGTTTACATAAAAGCAGCTTTTTCTTTCACTGTTTTGGGCAAGTTAACCCTTCAAGGACAACACCTGAGAAGGGGTCAAATGGTGGTTCCTTTCCAAGCTCTCCCTCTTCTTTCCTCTCCCTGCCAGCTGTTACCATGGAGCCCAATTGGTAACTTTTCTTGTCTTAAAAATGTATATATCTCTGTGAAGCCCAGCTCAAGGCCACAGGCCTTATTTGCATCTTTCTACAAACTACTATACTGGATATGTTTGGGAAAAACTAGTAAGGGGGTGTCCAGCACCTGGAGTGCTGGTATCTTCCTGTCCAGTGGCCAAGTAAAACAGGGTGACACCAAAATAGGAAGTTTATCTACATTGAACTCTTTTGCAGAGACTCTTTTGCTGAGAGTCCTAAAATCAGCCACGGTGAAGATTTCTGGAAAAGCCCAGTTAAGACTTTTCTGTGGAGAAAGGGGGTGCCACTGAAGCCAGATTTAAAGTTAGGTAGTCAATGTAGTTATGAAAGGGTAAAGTTTCTAAGCTGCTTCTAAACTGCAAAGCCTGAGTTACACCCAGAACCTGAAATTCCTGAGGCAGTTAAGACAACGCCCTACTGGCCATTTAGTTGATTAATATCCTAGGGCTCTGTGCAGCTTGTCACGTAGGCATCGCAGGGCCTAAACCAATCAGTTTGAATGTAACCCCCTCCTTAGGAATGACCTATCACTCCAGCCTGCCCTGTTCCCGCCAATGTATGTACTAATCAAGTCTAAGAATTGTTGTTTGACTTTCCCACGGTGTATGATGATTTGTTAAAGGAGACTGTGATGTATGTAAAGTCCCCGCCCTCCCCAAGAAGTGTACTTAAGCAGTGCTCAGCCCCTGCTCTGGGCTGCTCTCCCTTCTTGAGTGGGCATGGAGCCCCAGCATGCTGGAATCTCAATAAACCCCCTCCTGCTTATTGCATAAAGTCAGTCTCTTGGTGGTCTCTTCCTCCGACGCTTCGCTGGACCCTTACAGTTAGGTAAATCAGGTCTAATATCAAGTAAGATCCAAAATGGAGGCCATGTTTAGAATGAATTCCAGGAAAAGTTGAACAACTCTTGGAATGTTAATGAAGTCTGGGAAAAGCCCAAGGCCAGAGCCCATCCCAAAGAAGTGTTAATGAACAGCCCCCAGCAAACTTGAAGATGCTGACTCAGAAGTCCTTCCTGCCCAGATTACTTCTTTGGCCCACCTGTGTCCCACCCCTGGGCCTTCCTACCTACATTCCATCACTGAAAGAACTATAAAAATGGGAAACAACTGCACTT